TATGTAAACTATACAATAAAACACAAACTAAGCTATAGTGGCATTCATTGTAATAAACGTCAAGCTAAAATAAACTTATTTACAACAAAACTGAAACGGCATTGGGCTCATATGGGATGATATTAGACTCTAAATGATTAATAGATGCACGCACAATTATCCATGCACTGCATACATTTTATACATGTATCTTACTAACCACAAACAAATACCTTTCAATTTGAACAATAAAACACAAACTAAGCTATAGTGGCATTCATTGTAATAAACGTCAAGCTAAAATAAACTTATTTACAACAAAACTGAAACGGCATTGGGCTCAGGAGTCTCTCTCATTCGAAAAGAATCCAAACGTTTCCATTTTTGCTATGGAACATTTGGTTGCTAAACTATTATTATTCATCATGTAAACAAGGCTTATACATCACTCATGTTCCTTCACATGCGCAATAATGTTTGTTTGGGCACTGCACACTGATTTTATAGCGGACCTTTTACATTAAGCAGTTATGTTTGGTTAAATGCATTTTTGATGATGAATGTCAAGTCAGCAAGTTAGCAAAATGTTGTTGTTTTTTTATCTGTTTGGCTAATTATTTTATAGAAATATATTTCGTATAGCCCTATTTATTTTATTCCTTTTATATACTTAATTTCTGTTTTCTCCATTCACAGAAGCACTGCAATCTTATTGGTTAACGATCGCCTAATGTGCTAAAAGTCAGTCATCTGACTGTACTGTATGCATGCCTGTTTATGAATTACACAGATGGGGAGCACGGCACAATAGAAACAATGACACAGCTGGCCTCATGGTGCCTTTGCGGGCACCATCACAAACTTCCCACTTGTACCACTTGACAAATTCAAGAGATCGACTTCACATTGCTTTCATATGCAATTTTTAAATACCACATTCCTGTTTACTATCATTCTGGTAGCACGTGGAGGCAGCATCAGTGAAAACAGGCATAGCTTTAGCAACATTAGCCTTACAGAGTGCCAAGAAGCTCTTTCAGAAAGGCAATTTGGAAAACAAAATATGACTTCTATGTTCGTTGGTGCATCTCAAAACACAACACTTGTAATACCTCTTTGGCCCTGACATTGTATATCTCCAGCAGCTACAGCAAGAAAACAGTAATGACGGACTGATGCTTTTCACTCATGGCTGTGTCTATGCTAATATGACGTAAATCGTCACAAATGGGCAGGATTTCTCCCTACGGTGAGGTGTACATAGGGAGAAATCTGGAATCGCCTGATCAGAGAGACTGTTTATGATTTATTGGGATTATATAAAAAATGAGTGGGTGGATTTTTACCATTATAGGCTGGTTGTTTTCACACACTGCGGCCACACAACTGTGTTCAAACACCTTATAAAAGTGATTTTTGCATAATAGGTCCCCTTTAAATGAGTTCTATTGTGTTTGAAAGCAAAACGAATTATATTGTAATTAAAAAAAATAAATGGTTAAAATAAATGCGCCTGTGTTTAAAAGTAAGTGGTTCAACACAACTCGAATTAAAACCTAGATCAACATAGTCTTAATTAGCTCTAAACTTCAACCAATTTAATCCTTATTGGTGCAACCCACCCAAAAGGAATAAACATCAACAGGCACCAAATATAGCACACAGATCAATGTAACATTAGCAGATGACAAAAGAAATTACAACGTAGTTACAGTACAAATTGCTGTTCTTTAAATAGAAAACTATGAGGTTGTTTTAAGTTTGATGATGTTACTCACAGTGTCCTTTCCGGGGTGTATAATGTTTCCTAACACTGCCAGCTGATCAGCGCAGTCCTGCAGCACAGCACACGCTCTGAGCACATCTACAGACATCATACTGCTTAATCTGACCAAATAGATGGGGAAATAAAGGAAAATAACAAGTAACGGTTTCTTTTCTATCAAGCTAAAACAACAGACAAATCAACCGTGAAAAAAAGAGCTACACGAGCTGCCGTAGCTACGGTGTCCGTTGTCATGACAACACTTGTACACAGATCACATGTACATATTTGTTGGCTTTTTTTTAATTTTTTTTATTTTATTTTTTATACACCAGATTCAATTAATGTTAATGCACAATATATTTGAACCACTATATAATGTATTATTGTCTACACAGTGTAAAAAATTAACTCACATAAGCCAAGCATTGATGACCTTATGTTTCTCTCACAGGTAACGTCAAGAGTCATCGATGAGCGTTTCTTTATTTTATTAATTTAAATTTACATTAGCCTATATAATTTATTCAGAAGACGTCAAATGTTAATTGTGATTTTAAAGGGTATTTGTTGTGTTTTTAAAGAATGTCTATGTATTGTTATTGTCATTATCTTTTTTTATTTTTTATTTTTCTCTTGCCAAAATAGAATTTAAATATATGCTAAATAACAGTGAAGCTCAATTAAATTAATTTTGAAATTAATATACACACACACACACACACACACACACACACACACACAATTAGTGCTGTCAAACGATCAACACGATATTATATATATAGTTTCAACCTTTACACCAAATATATTTCAAAATGTATTTCAGGGACAAGACGATGCATTTCCAATAGTATCTTGTGGATGAAGATCAAAACTAGATTTATAATGATTTAATAATGTTTCATTTTTATGAATTGTAACTGTATATTTGAAAATACATAGTTTTTTCCATGTATGTGTAATTTACAACTTTACATCAATTTACATCTTTACATTTTTTTTTTTCATTAGGCTAGCATAATTTCTGCTGTCTCCATTACCAGTGTTGTGTAAACATCCAATACGATCTACTGTGATATCTCCCATTAAAACTAATTTACCTTTGCCCAATAAATCTTGACATGACGTTACCGGAACAGTATTTTTGTTCAATTGTTTATTATTATTATTTTTTTCAAACAGCAGAGGGCAGCAGATCGTACAATAAAGTGCTACGCATGTCAGGCTGTACCAAAAGAACCCAGAGTTCCTCAGAAGACGAGCACGTGTGGCTGGCTTGAAAACACAACACTACCAGTAAAATTATGATAACGTTAACACGTTCACCCTGGAGCAAGTGAAGTTCTCTAAAACATGATTCATTGATTATTTTCTTCCCATTCTTAAAATGTCCTCAAATTTGATTGGACGTGTTTCACAAGTTCTCCATGCTCCAGATAGTCTAGACCTCCTACCCAGAGGCCACGGGTAAATCGCAGCTGTGCTGATATTGAGAAGAACACCAGCACTCTTGCTCATGTGTTAATGTGCCTTTTCAATTGCAAATGCTTCTCACAAATGCCCCTACCATTTGCAAAAGCTGCCAGAACGACTGACAAGCCAGCAGGATATTTATATGGTGAAGCCTCACGGTCACACCTGTTGTCAAAGCAGCTAGACCTTTGCCTCAATACATTCAGGGCAAACAGATGCCGTAGAAAACCAGGTTAACAGCATGAGGCTAAATGGTGAACTATGAGTATCCTGTGATTGTTCGTTTTGTTAGTTGCAGAAGTTCAGTAGGGGTTAGAACAAACCACAACCAAAATGTAGGAAAAGCAAGACATAAAATGACAGTGTGTCAAGTGTTGTTAATGGATAACTTCTCTCTTTTTAAAAAAAATGTTATCATGTAATTCTTTTTCAAAAGAGAATACATTATGAATTATGCTATTATGTTAATTATGCTATAAATAGTTATTTCAATGCATATGCAAGTATTGCGCCATTTCCACTGAGACCACCTCCATCCCCCAGTTACATTCTGTTACCAGAAACGAGCCAGCACTAGGAGGAAAAGATTACCCTGTAGCCAGCTGGTCAAACATGACTGACCAAATGTCTTGAGATGTGTTCTTATACACATACAGAAACAAGAAGCCGCTTATGTCATCAAACTGATACTAAAAGTACTTTGAAGTACCTTGCTTGAATGTAGGCCATTTAAGAAGTTGCAGCTGTTCTGTCTCTTTCAGCTGCTTTAAAATGACAAATATTGTATCAGCAACAGGTTTGACATGGCGATTTGACATTTGACTTTTTAATTAGGACTAAGTACATCTTCATATACTGTAGCCTATATTTTCATAATTAGGCCTACTTCTACTGTCTTTGAAATATGGGTAAAGTGTACTGCCGAATATACTGACAAGCATGTTCACTAAAATATAATGTCATTTTTATTTAAACTTGTCATGTATTTAAATGTAATTACACATTCATTAACTTTATTATTAACTTTAAAATGTAACAAATAACACTAGTCTTTCAGTCATTCTTGAGAAGTGGGACAAAACAGGGTGCAAAATTGAAATAATAAAACCTTGTACTCAGACAAATGAAACTACACTTATTCATGACATTTAAAATTGAAAATATTTTTTATTTTTAAACCTAATAGAAGTTACCCTTGCTGGACCTGTTTTGTCCCATGTCTCAAGAATGACTGCTTTACGTGCTTTAGTTTAATATGTCAACACATAAATGTATTTTAAAGCATGACAAAAGATTAACAATGCACTTTAGGCTATAGAAAAATGTTTAATTTAACATAAATGCACTTTTTAAATGTGTACTTAAATGTGTTTAAGAAGCAGTGTACTCTCTTTACGTGCACTTTGATTTTATATTATCTTCAAGTGCAGTTTATTAAAAAAAAAAGTTTTTAGAATTTGAAGTAGCCTACACTACAATTGCACATTCAGTACAGTGAAGCACGCTTTTTCATAACGGTATAAATTAAAAAAACTACGGAACACATTCTAAAAGCATCATAGTGTTTCAAGCATAGATATGTATACGGTATATATATATATATATATATATATATATATATATATGCTTTCTAAGACATCTTAAGCAACTAACTATTGTATTGTGTATTGCAGTAACTATGGTTACTGTTTTTAAGGGTTGCAGTCACGTCTGCATCGAGTGTTTGATTCCCCTCCTCACTCTATTAGTTCGGCCTGACGCAGTGTCATAAGCAGCAAACATTCCTCGCGCAGCTGAGAGTGAGTGAGTGTACAGGGACATGATATCGACTGACAGTGCTGCTCTTCCCCGCACACAACATGGGCTCAACCGCCCATACCACCAAAGGCAGAGCCCCAGCTTCACTGCAAAGACCCGGACTCGGTTCTGTGTCGTGGATCGCGTGTATTGTTGAGATATTTGAGGTGTAAAATGTGGGTGATGGTGCTGTGGACTCAGGACAAGATGGCAGCAGTATGAGACACACACGTCTACATGCTGTGAGTTCTGTCGAAGTGTGTAAAATGATCGGAGAAGACCTGGATTACATCTACTGTTAGTCCGTGTGAAAGGTGAGACTTTTTAATTTGAGCGATTTTGTTTTACTGTTGATCGTGAACTGTCTATGGAACAGTCAAAACCAAAACGGATGATCACATCGGCTGTGTGTCAAATCCTAGTGAGCTTCCTACATAGACTTATTTTGGGCATCAAAGACGCGTTGCAAAGTGCGATTATTACCTATGATAATGCGAATGTTTTTAATTTGAATCGATTTATGGACATCATTCGTGCATCCTGTGTAGGCAGACAGCTTTTCCTAAGATTTGACATACAGTAAATTGAGATACAGCCTAACTTTGGTATGTAATCAGTACGAAAGATCGATGCATAAATAGATAGGCATGCATGCATATGTGTATACTCAGTTGCTTGTCATTTTGAAGCAGTTCAAATTGTGCATTTAGTTGGAAATGTATTAATGCATTAATAATTTTAGTTCAACACTCTTGTTATGTAATGAAAGTTACTGTAGCGTGCTACTGTTCCAGCAGTTTTAAGATGAAGCAACCTTTGGTCTTTAACAGCCCAGATATTTCTTAGCTGTTGACCAGATCAAGAGTTTAGAGGAAGGTAAATACTGTGAAAAAGTGGGTTACTTAGGATGTAAATATGAAGGAAAAAACAAGTAAATAAATAAAAGTAAGTAATGAGAAAAGAGAACTGAGTTCCCTTGGAAAAGCTGTTGTCCTTAACAGAGTGCATAAGGGATACTTTTTAAAAGTGCTAATTGAGGTTGTTTTGAGGCAGCATGCATCTGCAGTGGAATAGGTCAAATGTTAAATAAAAATAGACTTGTTTACTATGCATGAGAAAAAATCATGTGGGGTGTTAACGTTACCCCGCAGTGCTTTGCCAAAACATTTTTTTTTTCCAATATCTGATTAAATTGAAAGCTGTTTGTCTTGTTAAAATAAAATGTAAACACAATGATGATTATTTTGACAGGAGGAATTAAAGGAATAGTTCACCACAAAATGAGGAAAATTATGTAATTCATGTCATACCCAAATGACTCTCTGTGGAACACAGACATTGCTTATTTAAAGAATGACCTGGCCTTCTTTTCAATACAATGGAAGTGAAGACCTTGGGCTCCAAAATTACTAACAGCAGTCAATTCAATTTCCCTATATTGTACTATATTTACACTGGACATATGCACTAGCTTTTTTGGGTTCATCAGAGAAGTCTGATCGGATTTGTAAGTCAGATCCTTTCAATCCAGTACAATGGATTTTGATTGATTGGCTTACAAATCAAACTGTTCACAAGATTAACAAACTGTCTTGGTGATCCAGTTACGGATGGATGTTTCAGCCCCAAAATATTATTATAAACTTGTATAATTTTCTTCTATGAAACTCAAATGGAGATATTTTGAAGAATGTTGTTAATCAAACAGTTGACTTTCACTGTGTAAAAATATCTTGTTGTGATTTGCAAGTTATACAGGTTAAAAAAAGACATGTAAGTAAATGATGACAGAACTATCTTTTTAACAGCTCACTTATCAGTGAATAATAACTTAAAATATGGTGCTTAACAGCCTAAGTGCTCATGCATATGGACGGGATATTCTTCTTAAATTACTTTACGCGTTCCACAGACGAATGGAAGTAATATTGGTTTAAAACGGCATGACGATGAATAAATGGTGACAATTTTAATTTTAGGGCTGAATGTCTTTGAGTTTTTGTAATCTGCTAGCTTTCGTTTTAAGGCGACCCTAGAGACAGACAGAGTGTTTTATGTTCCTTGTTGTATGGCGGGTAAGGCTGTTTTCACCAGCAAGGCTTTGCTTTTTCTGAAGAATGAGCTCATTTAGTGGTGGGGGAAGTTCAATAGAGGAGTCACACGATAGCCTAGCTGCCATTTGAGTTCTGCTGAGTGCAGAGACATGTCCACACCAGCGGCCCACTCCGGCCTGTGTTACCCACTGTGGTGAGGCTTGCGACCAAAATAGACCTGACTACAGTATGTGCTATGACTCCATGGAATTTACATTTTAAGAGGTTGCTCAGAAATGTCTTTTTTTGTTGTTGTTTGACTATAACCCTGTCTGTACTGTATTGTTTGAAGTATAGGAAAACTTATTTTTAATAATCATCTTGCTTTATGGCCTTGCGTTCTTGTGCATGCATTCAGTTCAGATCACTTATTGCCTTGATTTTTGACCCCTGATATGAGATCCAGCCCCTCCCACCATAAAGTAACACAAACATGGTGTTAACAGAGTTGCTTCCTTTTGTCAGTTATAGAAGGAATAGTTCATATTATTCCAAATCTGCTTTCCTTGGAATTTCAAACAATGTTTTAACTGTTTTTGCCCATGCAATGATTTTGGTGGGGCTCAAACTGGACCCCACTGATTTTCATTATGTGGCCACTATTTTTCATATTCAGATATCTCCAATTGTGTTCCACAGGATTGTATTCCCTTTAAGTCCTGGCCCTGAAATCTTTGACAGTTTCTTGAGCTGCTTCATTATTTGTGCTTGCCAAGTATGACAGTTATTGTCACTTCACTTGGGGCTAGGGATTTGAACGGATAAATATTGAATTTTATGGTAAACAATGCATACCACAGACATCGATGCTAACAAATCATGAAGCTTGTAGATGAGAGGTATGCTATTACTATTAACCTATTGGATGTAGGTTTTTCACCTGGAAGATGATCAAATTAATATTTGCAGGACCATTTAAAATTAACTAGTAGAGGATGTAATTTAAGAATTAAAAAAAAGAAAAAAAAAGTGTGGAACAACACGAGTGTGAATAAATTATGACAATTTTCTATCCTTTAACTATCCCTTGAAATGGTGAAGTTACATGTCTTGAGATTAGTGCTGTCAAACAATTATATGCGATTAATCCATCCAAAATATAAGTTGTTGTTTGCATAATATGTGTGTGTGTGTGTGTACACTGTGTATTTTATTATGTATAAATACAGACACATGCAGTATATATATTGAAAATATTTACATGCATATAATTTATATTATACAGAAATATATATTTAATATATAAACAACACATTTTTCTTAAATATATACATACATGTGTGACATCCAAAATATAAGTTGTTGTTTGCATAATATGTGTGTGTGTGTGTGTACTGTGTATTTTATTATGTATAAATACAGACACATGCAGTATATATATTGAAAATATTTACATGCATATAATTTATATTATACAGAAATATATATTTAATATATAAACAACACATTTTTCTTAAATATATACATACATGTGTGTGTATTTATTAGGGGTGGGAATCACCAGAGGCCTCACGATATGATAATTTTCAATATATTGCGATATTCTGCGATATACAGTATTGTAATTTATTACCTTTTTCCAACTTCAAATTATGTCCCCTAAGGCAAACTTTGACAACATCTGTTTTAACTAAAAAGAAACATTTCTCAGTTTGTTTATCTCACTTCAGTTTTATTGTTGCAGTGCAAAATGGGATTGTCAAGCAGACAAACTGACCAACACTTTCATGAAAACCTGTCATAAATGTTGTATGCACCTGGCAAACTCAACTATTTGTATTACAGTCTAATCTAGTCCACTTTAATTAAAAGTAAACAGGTATGCACTGCTGTGCTACTACAGGTATTTTGAACAGTGCAACTTGAAATTGTACTAAAAAGTTGTGCAGTCCTACAAAGCTATTATTGTCAGAGCATATGAGCAGAGCATAGCGTCACTGAAGGTAGCATTATTTTACCAGCGTTGCCCAGTACAGCTGAACTAGCCTACACCATGTTACAGCACAGAAGTGCTACTGCAAACCGGAACAAGTAGGTCTATACTGCATAGACATTTCCTGTCAGCGTGTTATTTGAGCGGACTTTGCTTTTCCGATGAGCGGTACACGAGCGGAATGCACATTCATAGATCGGAATACTGAGCGGAGCGTCAAACCGAGCAGTGACGAGGAGAGTGAAACATGCGCGCTGAACACTGCCGGGCGCGGCGCGGCGCGCCTGCGCCATATATATTATTATTATTATATGTAGCCTATATTTTCGGTGCATCCCTACTTACATCCCCTCCTTGTTTACAAATCCGAAGTAAGTCCATACATCCGATTTAAACGCGGACGGTGCTTTCCTGATAACTTTTCGCGATGCCGCCCTCTTTATTTTACTAACTTAATGCATGCTGAAGGTGAACCAGCTGACCTCACCAGAAAAAAACTCAACACCACCATCTAGTGGATTGTAAAGAAATTTATTTTATTATTCTACCAAATAGTATAATAAAAGATCGATACTTGGCGTCCGTGTATCGATACAGTATTGCCAATTTTTCCCCCACCCCTAGTATTTATATATAAAATAATAAATATACACAGTACACACACATATATTATGTGAACTAAAACTTTTATTTTGGATGCGATTAATTGCGATTAATCATTTGATAGCACTACCTGAGATATATATATTTGGTCATATTTTAGTTTGGGGACAGTTTGTGCCTCCTAATTTGCTGCTTAGTAATGGTTAGTGAGGTAGTTGTTGAGTTTAGGTATGGGGTGTGGTTAAGGGTAGTGCTGGGTGGTATACTGGTTCATACCGAATACCGGTGTTTATTTGCCCAGCACTAGTTAAGGGATCTAAAGTATGGTTACAGAATAAGGCACTAATATGTGCTTTATTGATACTATAGATAATATGCTAGTAATATGCATGCCAATAAGGAGCTAGTTAAAAGTGAGAATCGGTCCCTAAAGTGTTAAACTGTAATTGTGACCTAAAATTATGATGTTTAATACAAAAACATTCATGATATTATCCATCAAGCATATTTATGCTCCTATCCTGCTTTGACAGCATCATTATATCACTCACTTCTATACTGTTGTAAATATTCAACCAGTGTGGGTTATATCTGTCTTGGTTAACAAATTCATCACATTTGTCTTAAAGGGGTCATATGATGCGATTTCAATTTTTCCTTTCTCTTTGGAGTGTTACAAGCTCTT